GCGGGAATCGATTTAAGATACGCAACTTCAGCTACAAGAATAGCATAGCTGAAGTCGACGTATCTTAGATCGACTTAGAATCACTTACTTCGCGTCCTCACGGCACGGGATCGACGGCCGCCACTCCCCCGTCGACTCCGCTTCCGCCTCTCGCCGTGGTGGAGTTCCGGAGTCGACGGCAGAGCGATAGGGGATCTATTTATCGTGTCTACACTAGACACGATAAATCGATCCCCGATAGATCGATCACTACCCGCCGATCCGGCGGGTAGTGTAGACATACCCTTAGCTGATTGTAGTAATCCTTCCAGCACAGGGCAGGTAATTTTACTCTTTGAAGGAGAACCTAGAAAGTGTAAAACAGAGTTAAGTCTCTTACATTGTCACTGATGGAATTTTCAGGTTATGAGACCATTGTCTTAACCAACTCTTGACAATGGCTAGGCTGCTGGTGTGCTGAGACTACAGCCTATCCTGTTGAGCAATATTGTCTCACTGTTTCCTTGTACTTGCCCATCAGTCTGTGTGTATCCATCCGTTGTCTCTTGTTTTATATTTAGTTGGTATGCTCTTTGGGACAGGAACTGTTCTTTTGTTTTGTGTTTGTATAGTGTCTAGCACCACGGGGTCCTGGTCCATGACTGCGGCTCTTAGGTGTTATGATAATACAAATAATAATTAATCACCAATTTGTAAAATTGAATCACAATTTCCAAAGGAGAAAAGGCTGAGGATACCCAGACATTCTCATCCAGTGACATTTGAATGTTTGGCTTCAGATCCACCTCCTGAAGTTCAACAGGTACCTCAGGGTTCTTTGGACAACATGTAGCTTCTGAGACAGCTCTCTGGAAACTGGAAAGGTAGACAGATCTGGTTGCATCAGAGCCAATGCATGTGATTTGCTTTGCCCCCTTAGAGAGGAACGTTTTTTTTTTTAAATATAGATTCGTCTATCTGGGTGATGGAAAATATGACCATCTGGCCCATGGTGGTATGTCCTAGTCTTGCCTGTATCCCTGTATCAAAATTTCTATTATAAAAAACTAGTGGGTAAGAGTATTCCCTTAGTCTATGTCAGTGGTTCTCAAATGTATTTGATCACGTCCCACTTCTTTGTGTCTGTAAGTAGTTTATGCCTGATAAAAAAAAAAAAGCTTGCAACTCATTAAATATTAAAAAGTAGGGCAAGCACTCATTGTAATAATAGCAAAAGCAAAACTGTGATTGTGGTCAATGCTTACAATTAAATGTGCACACTGCATCATTGCAAATGGATTAACATACAGATAGCAAAAACTTTGTATAATGCTATGTAAGCTTAACAGAAATCCATCAAAATACACAGCGCCATCTGAGGATCTGATATATCTGTAGGAATCAGCTTTGCTAGTTAGTTAATTAATTGATGTAGGTAAAATGTGTGCAGTAAGTTAAAGCCTCACATCCCCTCAGAATACATTCCGCGCCCCACCCCCAGTTTGAGAACCTCTGGTCTATATAATCTGTATCTAGTATCTCTATAATGTTCTCTGGTGTACTTGATCTACCTTGCAGGAGGGGAATAGGATAGTAAAATGTCAGGTCTATCTTGGCCTAAAACATCTGACTACAAATTCAACTGTGAATCAGATGGTTTGAACAGGAGATGTTGTTGATCTTGGAAAGTGTAGTACCGAAAAGGGTGAGGCAAACTTCCCCAGGGAACTGACAGTAATCCTACTGGGAGGGAGTGTAATCCTAGGGGAAGGTCGTCTTGTTAGAATGGAATTCTCCTTTTCTTTCCTAAGGTGGGGAGGAGGGGACAGCCCAGAAGCCTCTCTTATAATCCTCTTATCTTTTTGCCCTCGGGATTCTTGGGACTAAAAAGATTTTGGATCTAAGTGAATCTAGTTGTGGGTGCGAGTTGTATATTTGAGCCACTACAGTGATAGCAGATCTGGTAGATACCAAGGAGTCTGAAGTGATCTCTGCTCCCTTCTCCAGCAATGTCACTGGATCAGGTACACTTGTTTCAGAAGGGGTATGACTTTTCATATGGGTTTTGCTTTTAAAAACCACTTGGTTTTGGTCTGGGTTTTGAGGAGATTCTCTGGATCTCCTTAAAATGGATGCACTAGAATCTCTGAATGGATGCACTAGAATCCAGGGCATCTCAATGAGAGGACTGACTCTGCTGACAAAGGCAGACACCTTCGCTATGCCACTGTCTGGAACCAAAGGGGTGTGTTTCTGAGGGCCTGTTCTGCTGGCTGGTCAGATCCCATGGCTGTGGATTCCTCAGGACTGTGGTTCTACATTTGGCTCCCAAAGAGGAGGCTGGTAACTTTGTCTGAACTTTAGAATGCTTTTTAGCCTCTGTGAGGGCTGAAGCCAGCCCGTGCATGCTCGTGGATGCTATTGGCTTGGAACTGGAGGCTTTAACTGCTTGTAGTTGTGACCTGTAGCAGCAAGTCCTGGAGCCTCTTCTAATGCTCTTTTCTAGCACTTGAAGTGAAGGTGCTGCATATGGAACAGTGTGATAGAAAATGACCTTCTCCCAAGCAGGCTGGACACCAAACATGGGCATCTGAAGCAGCTAACACAGTAGAACAAGCGGTGCTCCTTTTAAATCCCGCCCTCTTCCTTTGTTGGATTTGCAGATCCATGCCAAGGAACAGGATACAATAAATTAATGTATTGAAATAAAGGAAATAATAAAACTAAGCCTAAACTTTAACTTAATAAACTAAGAAACAGTCAAAGGCTCTGTGTCTTGATGGACCAATCCAAGTCAGATTGAACGAGCAAGGTTCCCGGTCTGTTCTAAACTGCGGCTGGAAGGCACTTAGATAGCTGGAGTGCTCTGCCCGCTTTTTACAGCCTTGTCTTTAGAACATTCAGTAACAGTGAGGGGAAAACAGGAGGGGGTACGAGAGCACTTAATGGACATTGCTACAAGAACGTTCCACCATCCAAGCTGCACTGCCCATGCAGCCCATAAGTGGCAATCTGCACAGGCCAGTCAAAGAACACCACATATATGCACTTCTAGTGTAGATGAGGCTGTTGTAATTTTAACATATGTTAGCTGTCTAGGCTCCCCCCAGGGTTTATTCACAGATTACCTCTACCTGCTAACACATGCTAAAAATACACCTTTTTCACTAGTGAAGACAAAGCCTGAGAGACTGGCACAAAGAAGGGAGAATCTCTAGAAATGGAAAGCTAATACCCTACTGTAACTAAGCAGAAGAGGTACCTATCCAGCTTGGCTCTTGATGAGCACAAGAATAGATGCACCATGCAAACTGTTTCTTTTGTTTTATTTGGACCTTTTTGCTGTATTCTTACTAAATCTTGTTTTTAAAACTCTTTGGGAATTTCACATACACTGCCTCAGAGAGTTAAAACATTCCACCTCTAACAAGAGACTCCCATGCTCGACATTCTGTCTCAAAGGTATAGACTAAGGATTCCTCTTGCATAAGGTGTGTGACTCCTTTCTCAAGGCTGTGGTCTGAGACACATGGATACCTAGTGACTATGCATGCGAAATCAGTTTAAAAGGCAGAAAGTGGCAGTGCCCACTAAGCTGCATCCTGGGCACGATAGTACTAGTCTTGCACATTTATACAAGATTGGCTGAGATGCAGGTCTCCTTAAAGTCCTTTCTTTTGGGGAGTTTCAGCTTCATTGGGCAATGACACCTGCCAGGGAGAGAGATAAGAAGTCCAGCTTTTGGCATACTAAGTCTAGAATGCAGACTTGATTGCATAGCCAATGGCAATCAATCTAAGGAACCTGCCACACTGCTGTCCCACCCAGGGACCAGGAAAACAGCATCTTGAAAGCTGCTCAGGAATTTTCATTATTCTAATGTCATGATTTCTAGTTCTTTTCTCACTTTTCAAATACTACAATAGACCCTGAAAGGACCATTACAGTTTTTCCAGACAGAGAACCTACTATTATCACTGCAACTAAGCAGGTAGGAAACCAAGACAAGCTTAGAAATAGAAGAACCTGGATAATAAACTAGACTTTAGCCCTTGATGAAATTGCACAGAAATAGCATAGTAAAGGTATATTCTTTCACCTATACCTATGGTCACCTGAATATTTCATTGCTCTCAGGAGGAGGGAGACAAAATACTATGGAGAAATTAGAGGAGCATTTTTGCAGATTTCCAAAATAATCCTGCCACAGGAACACAGCTATTTGATTATGTTGCTGTAGGATGCCAGTTGGCTTTCAATATTTCACAAAGTAACTGCCAGAACCCCTTGTTAGCAAGTAAAAGAAGGCAGGGACTTGCAGGAAGAAAGACTGCCCCGCTCCATGCTTTACAACGGAGTCTGATTTATTTTGGGATTTGTTTTTAAAGTTCTCTTATTTTTAGGTCTAATTGGGTCCCTACACTCTCCTACTTATCGGAGCTAGCTGTACCTAGCATACAATCCATCATGCATCTCCCACACCCAGTAAATGGATAATTACAAGTTCCCAGTGTAAAGCTGGAGTCTCGCAGACACTACCGATTCTGAATTTGTGACAGCATTAAAGATTAATTAAAACAGGCTTCTTTTACACTTGCATTCCTTAGTACACGCTTTTACTCTTGACTGTTTTATCATATTCTCCCTCAGCATTTGTTCTTATATCTAACTATGCTGCCAGACTGTTTAGCAAATGGCATTATAATCACCACCATATCTTCCCTATGTAATAGCATATCACCACACAAGGTTCAGCACAATCATCCTTAATATGAAAGGAACGTGTGGAAGGACAGCCTGTACATACTGTAAATTGCTGGAAGTCGAACAGTGAACGGAGACAAAAATTATATTTCCTAGTCTTCATCACCTTGAGGTAGGCAGAATCCTCCCAAAGACCAAACTCTTACAAGTATGCCAACTTCCCACAAGGACCATGGACCCTCAGTATACTCCTGCCTCCTCACCCAATTGTATATTCCAGAACCGCAAAATGTAATAGAAAATGGTTCGCTGCAGACCTGCAAAGAGAGTCAAGACCCCGTGATCCATCCAGTCGCATAAAGTTGTGTCGCAGGTTGAGGTAGGTGATGTCTTGACTGTAGAAGAGATACTCAGGTACCTCCTCAAGGCTATAACAAGACAGATCAACTGTGCTGAGTCGCTGAGACACCACCTGAAAAAAAGAAAAGGGTAACAGAGTTACAGCTACATTTACAATTTTCTTTCCAGTTCAATTCAACGCAAGTTTATTGGCGGGACAAGCTAGACAAGTGCTAACAAAGCACAAGAAAATGAAACCCCTCAGGTATCTATCAGAGGCAAATTCAGCCCACCCAGGATAGGTTTACACACAGTGTTTAGGATTTGATCCCAGGCTTGTATGTTGCTACTGTCCATTCCTGTCGGCAGGCACATACACAAGCATGGAGAAGGGCACAGGAAAGGCACTGCTCTGATTTGCATACATTTTGCATACATCACAGGAGCAAAACTCTCTTGGCAGTTCAAAGATTGATATTTGGTCTCTTATGCAGCTGGGTGTAACACTGGTCCTGGGATGCACATGCACCCGTTCCAAGACTGGCCCCCTTTCACAGAATTGCTTTTCAAGTGAGGGGGCTGAGGGAATAGCAAGGTCATGTGACTATGTAAAAGGGCATGCTGAGAGATATAAGGGCAGCTTGTGTTCTGTTAGGAAGACTCCAACAGAATAGAGACAATTTTCCACAGTTCCCAAGCAGAGGGAAAGGAACCTGCTGGGAAGGTGGTGGTCAGACTAGATGATCTCAATGCTCTCTTCTAGCCTTGGATTCTATGACTGAAAAAAACTTCAGCTGAGACATTTGCAGGAAGAAAATCTCAGCTGGGACAGGATTATAAAGGACCAGGAAGTTCTGGAAAGAGGGCAAAACCCTGGTAAACAACTGGAAGGACTACTGAGCACTGGAAAAGTCTAAAAGGAACCGGTGAGCCTGGAAAAGCAGGGTGGGCTAACTGTTATTTTGAGAATAAACCAGACCCCATAAGGCGAGAGTAATTCAAAAGCACCAACTAAGGTGGTTTGACTAGAGGGAGGGGGAGAAAGGAGCTAAACTGAGGCAACAGATGGGTCCAGTGCTGATAAGCCCCTACTACACTGGGGAACGATCTATTAACTGCTTTGACAATTGCAACCTCTGCCTTAAACTAGCAGTGGAAGCAAACTGGAAGCCAATGGAAGAGGCAGACAGCTGCATTCTGTATCAACTGCAGTTTCTGCATTATTTTCACAAATTATACTACATAAGAGCAAAGTCTTTAGTAGTGAAAACATGTATACATTGGCCTATATGGTGGAAGCCATACACTTTATACAAGAAGCCTTTGTTAGCATTCAGGCCAATCAATGTAAAACAGAGAACAATAAATGCAAGTCAAACACATAGAAGATCTAGCATGGAGAAATGGGATATTTTATACAGCCAAAGCTAATATAAGACATTATCTCTTAACCTGTATTTCACATCAGAAGCTGATACTATCTAAGGTCTGAGTTAGCACAGTCCATCAATCACCAATAAACATGCTCTGTAGTACACAGGAGTCATCATAGTGGATCAGACCAGTGCTCCATCTAGTCCAGAATTCTCTTTGGCAGTGGACAATACGTTTCAGATGAAGGTACAAGAAACCCTGTAACAGACAGTTATGCAATAACCTGTCCACAGAGAAACATCATCTGGCAGTTAAAGACTGGCTCATGCATTGAAGCTTGATAGTTTACATCCCATTTTTAATTCTACCTAATGTAACTGTGGATGTCCTTACTACCTGTATAACATCTAGTCTTTGTTGAATCCTGGTAAACTCTTGGCTTTTAGTTAAACAAAAATGTATTTCCTTAGATTAGATTTAAATTTATTGCCTTTCAGTGTCATTGAATGTCCCCCTGGTTCTCGTAGTCTGAAAAATGATCAATAAGAGCGCCTCATTACAGCAGACTTTCCAGGTCTCTAATAATTTTCATCCTTTTCTCTGGCTATTTCTGATATATCACTAGTTCCCTCACTGCCATCTAGGATTGAGTTTGGGCTTCAAAGTGGGATCCCTTGCTCCAAAGTACTCTTGCCCAGACAATGGTAATGTCAACTCTAGGGCCTCCTGAGTCTTAGGACCGATTCCACTAGGGTGTGGCACCAGTGAAACATAAAAACAGAAAAGCAGAATAGGCTTCCCCACTAGAGGTCCAGGAAGAATATAATGACAAAGCCACTCTAAGGAGGTGCTGACAAGGTGAGAGTCACTGGAACCTGACTCACTACCAAAGCCTGGAACAAAAGGAACAGGTGATGCTGTAACAGCCAATGTCAGGGGCTAAGACCGGATAACGGCACACCCAATATGGAGGACACAGTGGATGCCAATGTGCCCAGTGACAAAGAATCCAGTGCTAAAGGTTCTGATGCAGAGATCTCCAATGCCAGGAGTACCGAAGCCAAGAGACCCAATACAAAACACAAGTCTGATATAGCCAATACCAAATGAGTCTGTGCCAATGCACCTGAAGTATCTGATACACAAAAACCCAACAATGAAGAGGGTCTCAGACACCCAGGTTGGCACAGCACCGAGTTGTGAGATTCATGCTCATTTTTTCTGCTTCTTCCTTACTTGCAAGGACAGAAAATGATTCCAGAAATGCAATCCCTTCAGGATTTAATGGGCCTGCCACATGAACAGGATGTTGAAGTGAAGCTCAACACTGAAGCCATCCCCTTCTGACTCTGCTCTGATGTGGAATAAGCATGTGGACCTGAACAGAATCCACCTCCTCTGGTCGTATTTGGATTCTGTGCTAACTCAAATCCATCAGAGAGGCTCTCTGTGAGTCTAGCACATTGTTCAGGTGGATGCAGCCAAGGCAGTAGGAAGGACTTATAGACTGCTGTAGCTGGGAAGAAAGAGAAGTTAGTCTCTGGGATTAGTTTTGAAGACCGCAATAAACTTCAGATGCTTGGTTAATATGAATAGTGCTATCAGTGTGGGATAGCGCAGAACTACAGCTCGTAACTGCTACATAGCTGCCGCAGTCTGGTGGAATGCTGAAATGAAGCATCCAGCAGATCAGAGAGACATGCAGCGGATAAGTAGCCTCCAACCCACAGATGTCATAGTTCAAAGGAAGCCCTCAGGTGGCCTCGGTACTCTCTAAGAACATGAGTTAGAAGCTGTCTCTCAAAAGTAAGCCTGTTCCAAAATTCTCCAAGCTTTCTTTCCTCTTGCCCTTGTATCAGAGCACCCGCACCTACAGCTTATTGGGCCTCACCGTGGATGCCTGCCGGTGCCATCTCTGGTACTCTGCCAGCGTTTCAAAGCAAACATGGTAGGTTTGAGCTTGTGCACCAGCAGAGCTGAAAGCAAGCGAGTGCTGCCGACGCTTCACTTCTTCCACCTGAAATGGGAGAAATAAGAACAAAAAATAGCCCAGTCTACATTCCAACAATTACACAATCTGAAATGCGGGGGGTGGGAATGTTAAACAAAACCAATACAAGACACTCCACAAAGTACAGTCAAGTTAGTCCCCTCTGGCTGATATACAGCAAAAACTCCTTTTCAGAACCTCTCTGTTGAAACAGAGCAATTTTTACAGTAGGGGTGATGAATTTAGAAACCATGTACACCTCTACCTCGATATAACGCTGTCCTTGGGAGCCAAAAAATCTTACCGCGTTATAGGTGAAACCGCGTTATATCGAACTTGCTTTGAACCACCGGAGTGCGCAGCCTCCCCCCCCGGAGCACTGCTTTACTGCGTTATATCCAAATTCGTGTTATATCGGGTCGCGTTATATCAGGGTAGAGGTGTATTTGGTTTGCTATTACTACTTCAAGCCAGGGAGTGTAATAGCACTCCCACCCCAGCACCCCTAGTTCCAGCACTTATGGAACAGACCCAATAAGTAATTATTTCTGGGTCATGGTAAATTGCTGGACAGAACCAATACACGTAAAAGTATCATGTAATTTATGGCTGAAGCACAGAACCTGCATTCCTTTCACTGTTTTATTAAACTAAAGATTGCCTAGTAAATAAGCAGAGAGGAGTGAGGCAGATGTATTCAAACATCTTAACACAGATTCTCACTAAAGAGGCCTAGACTGACTTCTTGTAGGGAACATAATTCCTGGTGGCCCCTTCATTCTCACATCTTACCTACAGGAAACTAACAAAGAATCAGTTAGGCCCAAGAGCCTCACCTTCCCTCCGACAAGAGGCAGAATGTGCATCTTTCCTGTATGGCAATCCTTCACGGAGGATACGACGAGGCAGGTGCCACAGAGAATGACCAAGCGTTCTGCCCACTTGTGCAACTGTGTCTTCCCTTTGCGCACATTATAGACCCCAGACAGAAGGATTCGGTCTAGTTGCTCCACTTGACATGGCTTTTCTGAAAAGAAAATGGCACTTTATCATCCACTTTTCACTGGATTCTTTCTTTCCAGCTTATGGGGATAATTAGCACCAAAAAACAGCATGCAATCTCAGCTATTAAAAAAGACAACTATAGGTAAGTCAAGACAGAATAAATAGTGGTACACTGAGAACAGAGTCTCATTTGCAGGATAAACAGCCTGTAATAAATAATGCAATAATATTTACAAATATTTTGTAGAGAGATGAATGATTATATATTGTTATGCTCGAAGACATTAATGGCTGCAGTCAAGCGTGTCTGATCTACACGTAATCACAGACATCATTAAAGTTGATGGGCATGCTAGCCATCCTTCATTCTGGCTAAATGGAAATGCAATTAAGCTCCTTTACAGAGTAAGATAGCTGAAACCACTGCCCAAGGCACTGGGCCACATGGGAAGGCTTTAGCCAGAACTCAAGGCAAATGAGGAGTTTCCTTGGGGACTGATTGCAAAGGCAGGGGGCACTGACTGGTTGCAGCTGTATTTGCATGAGTGGAAGAGATAGAAAGCAACCAGAAAGCCAGAAGGAAGCCAGAGAAACAGGCATGAGCATGCCCCTGAGAGGAAACAGAGACAGAATTCCTTGGGGGCACAAGACTGGCTGGTAAGGCAGGCTTGGAATTTGTGAGCAAGGAAACTGGTCTGCTGTTTGTTCCTCTGGTGTACACAGAAACAGAACTGTGTACATTCCTTGCATCAAAGAAATTCTGACTTGTACCATCAATTTCTCTTCCTAACAGAAACAACTTGGCAAGACCCCACATACTGCTAACTTCTCAGGCCAAGAAGCGAGAGTATGTTCTGAGATAAACTATCATAGAATCATAGAATATCAGGGTTGGAAGAGACCTCAGGAGGTCATCTAGTCCAACCCCCTGCTCAAAGCAGGACCAATTCCCAACTAAATCATCCCAGCCAGGGCT